GGGTCTGATTTCGGTACAGCCCTTTCCCCACCTCACATAACTTTGGGTGGTGGTTAATACTTCCCATGAAGGCGTCATGGGCCCTATGGGTCAGTCCTTAGCACATAGTTGGGTGGTGATTAGCACAAAGGGGACAGGTTTTCCCCTATGCCTAGTTTAGCTAAATTAGTTTCCTTTATAGCAGGATTAGCTCCATTGGTGTATTTTTGTTATATACCCTTTTTTGTTTCTTTTACTTAGCAGGAAGGAAAGCTCCTCAGTGAGGAGAACAGCTGAAATAACCAACAACAGATTTTTCTCCCTTGCCTATCCAGAAATGTCTTTAATACAGGATGCCAAGAGGCAGATGACCTCTGAGCAAGATGATTTACAGCTGGGGGGGTGGACCCTTGGACCATTTGTCCCCAGGTGTTCCTTGTGGAAGAAGAGCCCAAGCCTTTAGCACATAGTCATTTGTTAATTACTCCCCTCACCTGTGTTGTATGGGCTCAATAAAAGGTTAGTGCAGAGGTTGCTCGGGGCTACCCAGAAAAGAAGGGCTAGCCGGCCTTCTACAAGCTTGTACTTCTAATCCGAGTCATGCCTGGTTCCTTCCTGTGGTGATCAAGACCAGGGCCATAGGGACCTGAGGGGTTTCGACAAGCTAGGCATGGCAGACAAGAACTGCCTGGTCAGAGCTGATGTTTGTGATGAAACTGCACACTCATTGTGACCCAGAGGCCGTGCGTTTTCACACATTCAGAAAAACCTGTTAGAACCAACAGGAAAATATGATAAAGCCCCATTGTTGCCTGGTCCACTGTGCCTCTTAGCATCTGCTAGTTGACACCAAGTAAAAGTCATTTTATTTTATTTTTTGAGACAGAATCTCACTATGTCACCCTCAGTAGAGTGCTATAGCGTCATAGCTCACAGCAACCTCAAACTCTTGGGCTTAAGTGATTCTCTTGCCTCAGCCTCCCAAGTAGCTGGGACTACAGGCGCCTGCCACAACACCCAGTTATTTTTTTGTTGTAGTTGTCATTGTTTGGCAGGCCTGGGCTAGGTTCAAACCTGCCAGCTCTGGTGTATGTGGCTGGTGCCCTAGCTGCTGAGCTACAGGCGCCGAGTCGTAAAAGTCATTTTCCACTATCTGGAAACCACAGTGAGTGCCCCCAATGGAAATAGCTCTGATGTTGCTTGTAGTCACATAAGCTCAGCAGTGACAAGCTCAGCAGGCTGAGCTGTCAGGCTGACACAGCCATGGGGTCTAGTCACTCTTCCCCAGATGAGGATGACCTCGGAATCCCCCCTGGGATGGTCAGAATTCAGGGATGTCGGAAGTGTGGACCCACAGGCCTCCAAGGATGTCTGCCAGGACTATGGCTGTATGGAGGCTCAAGTGACAGGCCTGGAGGACAGTGTGCCTGATCTCACTGACCAGTGACTGCCCACATGTGGATGCTGCCCTCTGCTGCTGCCTGCTTACTGGGCAGGGCATGTTGGCCTCCACACTGTCCACTTTTCTGGGCTCCCTGGGTTCAGTCTTGTCCTGCTGCCTCCAGGTAACAGGAACCCAAGAAGTCTTCTGTCCTCTGCCTGGGTCCCTGAGAGTGTTGCTGACTGAGAACCTGGAGCTTCCTTGTGGTAGCTGTGACCCCTCCCAGGTGACCTGAAGGAATTAGAGGATCCTTCCCTCTAGGGGGCAGTCCTGGCAGCCAGGGCTGCCCCGAGGTGCTACCCTGTGCAGGGAGGGCTGGGATGGACCCTCCTGACACTCGGGCCCTGGGCCTGGTCCCTCCTGTTCACTTTCCTTGGGGGGGCCATAGGTGAGAAGCTGAGGCCCTGGCATGGCCCCCTCCTCACTCTGATAGACGTCAGATACTCTGTCCATTCTCACTGCAGGCAGATGCAGGCTCCTGGGAGTTGTTCCCTCAGAACTGCCCCTTGGACCTCAGAGGTCTGGGGATGACAGGCTGGAGCAGGCAAAGGCTTAGTGGCTGGGAGACCACACAACGGCCAGGGCCCTGGCAGCCTCACACTTGTGGACTGCTTTGCCCTGCCATGCTCCCACCCATCCTTGATGAGCGTGAGCCCCTCCCACCAGCATCAGCCGTGTCTGCCCAGCTGCTCTGTTGGGAGAAGGGAGGTGCTGTGAAGTTTCTATAACATCACCTGATATGCTGGGCAAGGGCTGGGGGAGCTTCCTGAGTGTGCCTGGATGTGGTCTGGGCATGGGACAGAGCCCGGGTGCCTTTTTGGCCCTTATCTTGCCCACATCTGTGGGCAGAAGGCCCCATCTTCACTGACCATGTGCCAGCAGGTGTGCTGGTGGTGTCCAGGAAGTGAAATGATGATCCTGCTGCTCTGGGCACAGTGCATAGTGCCTGGAGCCCCTTCTGGGTCCACAGCCACAGAATCCTCAGGATAGTGAGAGAGATGGGATACAGGGCAGCCAGAAGTATCAAGGTGACCAGTTGGATCTGGTGAAATCTGCTGTGTCTGGTGGAGAGAACTCTTCCCTGAACTCTGGAAATTAGAGACCAAGAAGCATGGTGCCCGTCGGGCATAGGGCATGGGGGCTGTGGCCTTGGGCTTCCAGCCACAGGTCCTGCCCTGGCCCATGGCCACTCACCCTCCTGCTTGGGGATAGGAAGCTTTTCCCTTCTGAGCCCTTCTGGGGTATGAAACCCAGAAGATGAGCGAGACCTGTGTCTACTCTGTTCTAGGTCACCTTGCCCACTGGCCAGGGGGCAGTGCTTGCTAGAGAAGCAAATGTGCACTTTGCTGGCCTCCCCTTGGGACACAGGCCATGTGCCTGGGCACATGGTGACCCACAGGATGAGGGAAGGAAGGCAGAATCCGAGAGCATGGAGCTGTCCCATATACAAAGCAGCAGTGAGCTGGCAGGGAAGGCTGGCTGAATGGGCCTCCAGCTGGCCCCAGGTATGGCTGTTCCAGTAAACACCGTGCATTTTGTTGGTGTTGCCAAGCCACCATCTACCTGGGGCCCAGCAGACCCTCTGTCTCAGTGGGGCCTTGGGACCCTCACAGGTGGCTGCGTCCCTCTGCCCAGTGGGGTCTTCATCTCCCACCCCTGCCTGGGCTGGGGCCCCTGACACATGCCACATTGCATTGCCCATTCTGCCTAGGCAGGCTAAGGTGGCTCGGGCCACAGAGTTACTTGGGGTTTGGGGGGCTGATCCTCTCTTGGGACAGAGGAGCCAGGTTCTGGCCTCAGTGGCTCTGGGCCACAGATACAAGAGGTGTGATCTGTTCTGTTTCAAGCCTGTGGAGTCCTGGGTAGACTGGATGGAAAGGCAAGGAGGTGGGAGGTTATCCCTTAAATGCACTCTCTGGACAGGTGCATGTGAAGGGTGGTGGTGTTGGGAAGGTGGTGGCATTGGGTGGGCAGCAGCCCTGGCTGCCTATCCACCTGCACTGGCACTGGGAGAGCCACTCTACTGCCCTACACTGAGGCCCAGAGTGTGCTCTGGGGGTCTGCCATGAGCTAAGAAGGCAGTGCCTGGCCAGGGTGTACACACAGGTGAACAGGGCAGTGGGTGCTCTGGGAGGGCAAGACTGAACCACTAATGTCACTAGGGCTGGGCCTTCAGGTCCTGGGAGCCACATCCACACTGCTATCTGTGTAGCAGGAAGGCCATAGTACTCATAGGCCAGGACTGGAGGTCACCATGGGCTCTTCCTTGCTCATCTGGAAGTTGGGCTCTGTTGACAGAGCAGGGTGTTGTGAGAAGGCAATCCCTGGCTGAGCAGTGCAGTACAAGGTGTCCAGCTGCACTTACATTTGAAGGCATAGGAAGAGGATAAGGTCATGGCTGCCAGTCTGGCCAAGTGGGGGTGAGGAGCCCCTCAATTTGGGGCCAGTTCTGTGGGATATTTGTCTTTTTCTGATTGGCTTGCAAGAAACCTTCATCTGTAAGGACTTAACCCTTGGTCAAAATGTTATAAACATTTCCCTGGTTTGTTGTCTGAGAATTATATCTATTTCCTGAAGAAAGAAGTGAACTTCAATGCAGTAAAATGTAAACTAATATTTGCGTTTTATTTTCTACTTCAGTGTTTTTTGAAAGTTGTTTGCCAGTCCAAGATTGTGAAAACATAGCTTCACTTAGTACAAAGCAAGCTCTGAAGGAGGAGGAGAAACCTCTGGTGTTCGGCAAGGGTTTCACGAGGGACAGGCAGCTTCACCACAGGTGCAAGCTCGCCCCTGGAATTATTATGATAGAGACAGACTACCTGCTCCTTGGTGGCAAGTAGCAAAGCTTTATTGTTCCTGACCACCTTTTATAGTGGGCTGGTCACGTACACTTTATTAATTAACAAGCAAAGCATTCTTACTACTAATCTTTTCTAAAGTTAGTTCAACCTTCAAAGAGACACAAAATTTGAAACTTCAAGACAGCTGCAAAAGGGAGTACGTCTAGAGACTTGAGATTACCAAGAGGGGAGTAAAGCTTTGGACTTTTGCTATGCACTCACTGTATTGCAGAAAGCAGGTTTATGGCTCCTGTTTCTATGCAACCTGGAGGTCATGCTGTTTTCTGATAAGCTCATGCCTATCAACCTCTAGGCTGTGTCTCTGCAGGAGAGCTTTTAACCCTTTCCTTGCAGGCTTAACAGCCACAGAGCCAGAGTTACTGAAGGTGGGTTTTCAGGCCCAAACCTTCCAGATCCTGTTCTATGAGGACCGAGGTAACCAGGTATTTGACAGAGTTGTGTTCGACAAAAGTCTGTCTGCCTGCTTCTGGAGTTTAAAGTGAGCACACAGTATGTGGGGTTTTATTCCACACTCTGGAATTTGATCCCAGATTCTTTAGCCAGGTTCTTCCAAGGACAACCCTCCAGGTGAGGTGAGGGGAGAGGGCATGGCCTGATCTGAGCTGCTGGTGATCTGGTATGGATTTAAGTTCCTACTCAGTTTCATAGTCATGCCCAGGCTGGACCTGGCCACACTTCTCACCCAGAGCTGCAGGGGTCTCACTTTGATCAAGGTTAAGATGGTGTCCATGCTGGGCAGCTTGCAGAGGTAAGGCAGAGAGTGGAGGGCAGCGGGCAGTGACTGGGCCCTTGAGGGTGGACAGAGGCACTTTTAAGGCTTGGATATTCTGAGAGGCTGGCAGAAGTGAGTTGTTTTGTGTCCTCTTTAAAAGGAAGTGGCTTGGACTTGAGGAATGTTCTCACATATGTGTCCTCAAATTCAACCTCTTCTGGCTTCAGTCCAAGCAATAGAGTAACCCTCCTGGTCCTGCCCAGCTAGGGCTGGTTCTGGATTTTGGGGGATTTGGGACCCGGTGAGAAAGCTGCACCCCTCATTACAGCCTGGGAGGCAAAATCTGCCATGTCTGGGACCCGCAGACGGCTCCCTTCCCCAGGGCCCTCAGCATTTGTAGGGGTACTCCAGGCAAGCTGGGGCCCTTGTCAGGGCTGCTGGTGTTTGAACACTGCAGGGTGCTCAGGGGGCCCTGCAGCAAGTCCCCGCTGTTGGGCACTGGTTGGGCACTGGCACTGGTTGGGCACTGGCTCCCACCAGGAGCCCTATGCAGTGTGAGGCTGAGCTCTTCTGCAGGCAGAGGACTTCAGGGCTTTCTTCACATTTAGGTTTGGCAGGCAGGCGGGTGTGGTTCAGAAATGCTTTCCATTTCACTTCACTCCACTTCACTTCTCTGGCTCACTGTCCTGGTTTGGGAGATTCCAGTGCAGTTTGGACCTCAGCCTCGAACATTCCCCAGGCTCACTGCCTCCCACAGTCATCAATGTGATCAACTTCTTTTAAGGTCTGACTTAGGGCAGTGCCAGGGGTGCTGGCCAAGGGGACCTCCATCACATGGCCAAGGGGCTGGAGGGATAGCCTTGTATCCTGGCCCATTCTGGGCAACATTGTTAACCACATAATAAGCAATTGGAGGCTGGCTGGTCAGCTGGCTCCATTAGCTGGGGCCAAGTTCCCAGGCCCCTTAGGCTGTCCCAGGGGCCTTTAAGGCTGGCTGGAGGTGGGTAACAAGGGTGCACCCCACTAACCCCAGCTGAGCCTCTGTGGGCAAGGCCTAGGTGATATTGCAGCCAAGGGGCCCTGTGGGACAGACTCCTTGGATGGGTTTCCTGTGATTGCTGTGCAGGCTGCACCTCCAGACATAAGGCGCAGCCCTGAGTATCCCAGGCTCCCTTAGTGCAGTTGTGGTACAGAGCCTGGGAGGGAGTGCATCTTCCCCACAGCACAACCCTTTCTGAACTCTTGTTTATTTTCCTGAGCTGTGCAAGCCTCAGGGGCTCACACTCTTTTTTTTTTTTTTTTTTTGAGACAGAGCCTCAAGCTATCACCAGAGTGCTGTAGCATCACAGCTCACAGCGACCTCCAACTCCTAGGCTTATCCCAAGCGATTCTCTTGCCTCAGCCTCCCAAGTAGCTGGGACTACAGGCACCCATCTCAATGCCTGGCTATTTTTTGGTTGCAGCCATCATTGTTGTTTGGAGGGCCAGGCTGGATTCGAACCCTCCAGCTCAGGTGTATGTGGCTGGCCCCTTAGCAGCTTGAGCCACAGGTGCCAAGCCAAGGGGGCTTACACTCTTGGCCATCTGGGCTTGTGGATGGGCAGAGCAAGATGGTAGTGGAGCCTGGAAGTTGTACCTGGCAGCTCTGCGTGGTTAGAGGAGCTGCTTGGAGGAGAAACCAGACGCTTTGCACACTCAAGTGGGGCCCACTCTTGCCCTCCAGCTGCAGCGAGCCCTTCTGCTGAGCAAGGAGACCTGGACAACCCGCCCCCC